ATCACGACCTCGCTGAGGCCACCATTCCACTGCTTGAAAGCCGCAATGTCAAACATATATGTCCTCAAGCGGGCATTTGCAAAGTTCGGCGAAATGTGCTTTGGTAAGATTTTCGGGACGTTCGTGGGACCACAATTAGAATTTGCCACTCAGGCCTGGAGAATATGGACTATCAAAGACCGCAGCACCCCTAAACAAGTCTAAAGACGGACAACCAAGCTTGTCCGAGGCCAACGCTACTTGCCCTACGAAACCTAACTGTCCAACCTTGGCCATACCCAGGCCCGAGCTCGGGTGTTCCACACTTAGGGCTTGGGTATGGCTGGCTGACGATGGCTAATAAGCCAGAAATGGCCATTCCAGTCTCCCTTGTCTTTGTCGGTAATATCATTCTGCCTATATATCATGCGCCGCTGCGCGGCTGCTGGTTGGGCTCGACAGAGAGCCCGTAAGGCACAACGGAACGAGTGAGTTCCGTATGAACGATCGGTGAGAGCCCCCTAACATTGTATATTCCCGATCGAAAACCGACAGGGCAACGGGCTCGTGGCCCGGTGAGTAGAGACGTTGACTTCTAAACCAACAGGTCGCGAATTCGAGGCTCGGGTGTTCCACACTTCGGGCTTGGGTATGGCTGGCTGACGACGGCTAATAAGCCAGAAATGTCCATTCCAGTCTCCCTTGTCTTTGTCGGTAATATCATTCTGCCTATATATATATATATATATATGTATCGCGTTCATCATCCGCCGAAGAAGGCGAAGAAGAAGATAGGGCGAATTCATGGACCGAGTTATATTTGTACTGACGTTTCGGAAACCCTCTCGGTTCCATCATCAGAGTAATGCGTTGACTGTTCCTGTTGGTCTTGATTGTGTCAGCCTTGAAACCTTCCTGGTATTATATCCGTGCGCGAGGCACGAACTTTGACCTGCCTTTTCGCCGCCGATTAGCGTTGACCTCTCCACGATTGACCGCCGGTGGGCTCCTGCCACTAATGACCCCTTTTCGGCCGTCCTAATTGTTGGTGAGCCAGCATGTTTGTCGGCCTCCCACTCGTCACTCAACGGACTGATCAGTTGTTGGGACTCATGTGAGTTGATCTCAGCCTTGTGGGCGTTGCGGTGAGGTGGCGTCGCATGCTGGTCACATGACCCCCGGACGGCTTCTCTCCCACTTTCTGCTGACATCGACTGTCGGCCGCGCATCACTTTGCTCGACTGTCCTGATGGCCTTGTCCGCACTGACTCGAGCCTTGTGCGTAGCGCCTGATAGGCGGGATGCAGATCTATGGCTCTGTTGAGTGTGCCAGTCGAGGACCAACTTTCGAGCACCAGTCTGGCCACCTTATCATTGGCTCGGCCGATTACCCTTGCCTTTTCAAAGGCGAAATTGTGGTTCTGCTGTTTGACGTGGCCATAAACCATAAACAGCTTGTCCTAGCGGTTGATTGCAAGCTGGTGTTCATGCAATCTTGTGCCAAGACGTTTGCCCGTTTCACCAAAATACCTTGCATCACAGTTTTGGCATGGTATGCTGTAGACTACCGCTGATTTTTCTGTCACCGATAGCGGGTCTTTGGGCCTCATTTTTTGTTGTCTGATTGTTGACTCTGTCTTATGAGCCACTCCGATCCCGAAAGGCTTCAGAATTCTTGCCGTCGCCTCTGACACGTTTTTCACATAATGGATTGCGAGCCAAAATTTTGGGTTTTCTCCGTCCGACCGCTCAGAGTGGGGCTTCTTAAGACACTTGCGTATGAAGGACTTGGGATAACCGTTGGCTTTAAATAGGGCGTGCAAGTACTGAATCTCGTCCTTCCTCCCATTGTCGTTGCTGCAGGGTGTTTGAACGCGTTGGAAGAGGGTCCTGACGCAACTATGTTTGTGACCAATGGGGTGGTTGCTCTTGAAGTGGTGGATTCGCCTGGTGTTAGTTGCCTTACGGTACACCGTTGTCCTTATCTTCCTATCCTCCAGCTTTGTCACATCTGCGAACAAACAAATTATCCATCTTCCGTCCCACTACCTGAAAGGAAAATTCTGGGACCAAAAGAGATTATTGCCAGTCTAATCGCGGTAGCGTTTTTGACACCGGCGGTAGGCACCCGCTTATTAGGCGACATACATGATTGCCACATCTTCAAATGGTCATAAGCAATATCTAATTTTGGAGATTCTAAAAACCTCCTACTGTGCAGTTAATGCACCTAACATAAATCTTCTGCGAAAGGACGATGATAGTCCTTTAGCAAACGTAAATTAATTTCCATTTAAGTAAAACTTGTATGAGTAAGACGACTACTAGCCTTGCAAATGGCTAACTTAGCCTAGCTTAATTCCCCGTTTACACTATTAAAAACGCAGCAAAAACTTTCCTAAATACGAAGATTCGTGGGTCTTTTGTGAAAATGTGCACAGGTTGGTCTACGGCCAAATGAGCACTAATATGGCTAGATATTTTTTTCCAGAGGACTGGACTTTTCACGATTGACCGATAACATTCTTTTGCGGCCTTTGCGCAATATTTTGCTTCTCAAATGTGATGCGCTGATGACCCGATTGTCTATCACCCTCTGACTTTGGTTCAGGTCACGCAATGCCTACCCAGATACAGCGTGTCCTATAATCGTAGTCTGGCATGTCGCGGACACATTGTTTGATCTCTCAATATCACATTTTTGCCTAGTGAACATGAGAACATTTGGATTTTCCATCCAAAATTATCTGCAAAAACGGAGTTTGTTGGGTCGATGAGAATACATTGGTAGGCAGGCCGTTACAGCAGGTGTCATGAAGTTGTACTGAATGAGTGTCAGTTGTTCAAAACAAAGCCTTTATGGCATTGTTTGCAAACGCATAGGATTTAGTGATAATCGGAAAAATGAAACGCTCTGAGGTCACTACTGTTCTTTTCTCAATACAACTGTGTTTATTCTAACTCTATGGATGCATTAAGTACGGAGATACTCGCCACGACTTCGTTAAATCGTGCTCTCTAAAAGTGCCCTTTTAAAGTTATAAGGCATCGAAAGGAATTTTATGTCGAGACACTAGTAATCTAATACAACGGAGTCCGATGAGATATTGCTTCCTCTTTGATGAAGTAACTGAGTTTCTTTAGTTCGAATGCAGAATGTTCTCAATTGTCCGCTAAGACGAACAATAGTTTCTTTATGCATTGCATTCACTAAAAAAGGGCGAAGACATATGGTATAGTGTATTTTCGAGATATGGTGTAGGGGTGTCAACGGTGGGTTCACGTGATGGTCGTAGTGGTCGAGCGCCTGCTCGCACGTGAGACAACGCCTAGCGACCATTTGCTGACACTCAACCCTTAACTGTGACTCCACGTAGCTGGGCTCTGCTCAGCGGCCACACCCCGGGCAACCGCCTCGACCGGCGGGCCAAATCAGGTGAGGGCGCTGTGCGCGTTGTGCCGTGTGCACAGTGCATCGCGGACTCCGCTGGATGGATGGTCGGATGGGACTCTGCGTCGGCTCCGTCGTGACGAGTCTCCGTCTGGTACGCCGCTGGACAGTTGGTGACGGCATGGATCTCCACAACGACATCGCCTTGATGTGCCCACCTACGCCGTCGGAGACCGCGGCTTACGGCAAATTCGAGTCGTTCCCCACTACGAACAAGAAGTCGTGGCCCCATAGTGGAGTTCGCTCGCGCGAAAATAGCACATGGGCAGTCATATTCAGGGTTACACTGCCTGCCCTCATGAGGGGAAGGGCCTAAAAAACGTGATCTAATCATTGCCGGGCACCACGTCGTCTTCAGGCTAGCCAGGGTCGCAGATGTCATAAACATGGTCGAAAAAATCAAAATCAAAACAACAATAGCAATAACAACAACAATACTCGCTCTCCTTCTCATCCTACCTCTTCTTCCTCTTCCCCTGTCTATTCTTCTGCTTATTCTTCTTCTTCGTCACCTTCTCCTCCACCTCCTTCTCGTCGACCCACGCGTCGTCACCAGACTGGCAGAGTGTGTCCGCTCACTCTAGCAGCCTGGAATGTTTGTTCATTTTTAGAAAATGCGAGGAGCAACCGAACGGAACGGAGGACAGCGCTAGTGGCACGAGAACTCGCCCGCTACAAGGTGGACATCGCCGCACTCACCGAGACCCGATTCTCCGACCAAGGCCTACTGGAGGAGGTGGGTGCCGGCTACACCTTCTTCTGGAGTGGTCGACACAGGGCAGAGCGACGAGACGCGGGCGTCGCATTCGCCATCCGGATCGACATCGTGAGACGACTGCCCAGTCTGCCGCAGGGAATCAACGACCGCCTGATGATCCTCCGCCTGCCTCTCCGGCGGGGAGGTAAATTCGCCACCATCATCAGCGCCTACGCTCCGCCGATGACCGGCCCCGACGCCACAAGACACAAATTCTACGAGGACCATCACGCCCTCTTGGCAAATTTATCGAAGTTGGACAAGTTCATTGTCCTTGGTGACTTCAACGCCCGCGTCGGCACAGAACATGCTGCCTGGAGAGGTGTGCTGGGTCCCCATGGTCAAGGCGGCTCAAACGACAATGGCCTGCTCCTTCTCCGCACCTGCGCAGAACACCGCCTCATCCTCATGAACAACTGCTTCTGTCTGCCGGAGCGAGAGAAGGCCAACCGGAAGCATCCTCGGTCGGGTCAGTGGGACCTGCTGGACTATGTATTCGTCCGGAGGCGAGATCAACGGGACGTGCTGTTGACAAAGGGGATCGCGGGTGCTTACCGGTTGGAGCGACTATCGCCTAGTCATCTCGAAGATGCGTATTCGCCTACAGCCTCGCAGGAGACCAAAAGGTAAGCGACCCCCAGGTAAGCTGAATATTGCCTTGTTGTCTTTGCCCGCTCACCATTTTTATTTCAGCAACGAGCTAGCTAGACAACCTTCCCATCGCTGCCGCCGCCGATGCGGTCGCTGCCGAGAATGCCTCCGTGGAAAAACGCTGGTGTAAACTGCGATACATTGTTCAGTCGCCGGCACTAGCCGTCCTCGGTTGCGCATGCCGCCAACACCAGGACTAGTTCGACGACAATGACGCCGCCATCAGAAATCTGCTTGCTGAGAAGAACCACCTACACAAAGCCTACGTAAACCACCCCACCGACAACAACAGAGCTGCTTTCTACCGCAGTCGTCACCACCTTCAGCAACGACTGCGCGAGATGCAGGACGCCTGGACCGCTGGCAGAGCTGAGGAGAACCAAGGCTACGCGGACCGCAACGAATGAAAGAACTTCTTTTCCGCGATTAAAGCTGTCTACGGTCCGCCGACGAAGGGCACTTCGCCTCTCCTCAGCGCCGACGGTAGTACCCTCATGACCGAGAAGGAACATATTCTTCAGCGATGGGCCGAGCATTTCCGAGGCGTCCTCAAACGCCCCTCCGCCATCTCCGACGCCGCCATCGACCGTTTGCCGCAAGTAGAGACCAACGTGGACCTCGACCTCCCGCCGTCTCTGCAGGAACCCATCAGGGCCGTGCAGCAGCTCTCCAGCGGGAAAGCACCCGGATCGGACGCAATCCCTGCTGAGGTCTACAAACATGGAGGTCCCCAGCTGATTAATCACCTGACTGCGCTCTTCCAGGAGATGTGGCGTCAAGGCGAAGTCCCACAAAATTTCAAAGACTATGGTGCATTTCTACAACCGAAATGGAAACCGCCAAGTCTGCGAAATCACCATGGCATTTCCTTGCTGAACATCGCGGGGAAGATCTTCGTTCGCATCCTCCTAAATCGTCTCAATAATCATCTGGAACAGGGCCTTCTGCCGGAAAGCCAACGCGGCTTCCGTCGTCATCGCGGGACCACGGAGATGATCTTCGCCGCCCGTCAACTTCAGGAGAAGTGCCAGGAGATGCGGACCCACCTGTAGTCTACCATCGTGGACCTGAGTAAAGCCTTCGACACGGTGAATCGTGAAGGACTGTGGAAGATCATGCAGAAATTCGACAGTCCGGAGCGATTCACTCAGATGGTGCGTCAGCTGCACGACGGTATGATGGCGCGAGTAACGGACAATGGAGCGGTCTCGGAGTCATTCGCAGTGACCAACGGAGTGAAGCAGGGATGCGTGCTTGCGTCTACCCTCTTCAGTCTTATGTTCTCTGCCATGCTGATGGACGCCTACCATTATGAACGCCCCGGGATACGCATCGCCTACAGGACGGACGGTCACCTCCTGAATCAGCGGTGGATGAACTTCCAATCGCGCGTATCCACAACCACCGTTCACGAACTCTTCGATGACAACTGCACCCCGAACACCACCCCGGAAGAGGAGATGCAACGGAGCATAAACCTGCTGTCGGCCGCCTGCGAAAACTTCGGACTGGTCATCAACACGCTGAAGATGATGGTGATGCATCAACCGCCACCCGACTCAGCTACAGCCCCCAACGCGCCGCAAATCAGCGTGAACGGAACCCAACTGCAAGTGCTGGAGAGCTTTTCGTACCTGGGCAGCATCCTCTCCCTCAACGCCAAAATCGATGACGAAGTCGCTCGCAGGATCTCGAAAGCCACTCAAGCCTTCGGCCGCCTCCAAAGCACTGTTTGGAATCGTCACGGTCTGCAACTGAGCACGACGCTGAAGACGTACAAGGCCGTCATCCTGCTGACGCTGCTTGGACAGTGTACAAAAAGCAGGCACGCCGCCTGAACTACTTCCACCTCAGTTGTCTTCGACGCATCCTGAGGCTGAGTTGGCAGAATCGAATTCCCGACACGGATGTGCTGGAACGGACGGCAATCCACAGCCTCTACGCCAAGTTGAGACAAATGCAGCTGCGTTAAAGAGGCCACCTGGTGAGCATGGTCGACGAGCTACTATCCAAACGACTCTTCTACGGAGACGTCGTCACGGGTTTTCGCCGCCAAGGAGACTAAATTCGCCGGTACAAGGATACGCTGAAGTCCATCCTGAGGCGTCTGCAAATTAAACCGACCACCTGCGAAGAACTCGCCCGCGATCGACCGACCTGGTGGAAGACAGTGAAGACAGGAGCTGCGATCTACGAAGCCAACCGCATCGCCGCCGCCAAAGTGCAACGCGGAGCCCGCAAATCACAGCTGCGCCCAGTCCGCAACGCCGACACACAACCGTCTTCAACGTGTCCTCGCTGCCAACGGATATTCCGGGCACGAATTGGACTCATTGAATACCTTCGGATCAACTGTACCTCTCGGACCGCACCAACAAACGTCCCTCCGCCCGCCTCTTCCCCCTCCTCTCCGTCGCCAACTAACTCTGGCTCTTCTTCCGAACCACCACTTCCATCGTCATCCTCCTCCTCCTCCTCTTCCTACTACTATTTCTCCTCCTCCCTCACTGCCCCAACGACAGCCGCTCAGGCGACTATCACGCACGACAACACCGCACACATCCCCGACATAGCAATAAACACCCCGCCTACAACATCGGACTTCCGAGGTGAGGACCAGTACTACACCTGCCGTCACTGCGACCGCACTTTCACCTCACGCATCGGCCTGGTCTGTCACTTGCGAATCCATTGCACAGAGACTGGCGAACCAGTGCCTGGTGCACCCACCTACACCCACCACACTCTCCTCCACTGCCCAAATTGCCCTCGCACCTTCACGCATCGCATGGGCCTATTCGGCCACATGCGCATCCCCGACGACTGGTGGTAGACAACCGCCGGTTCCATGGCACCACAACACCTTCCCGCCCTGCCTCCTCCTCCTCCTCCTCCTCCTCCTCCTCCTCCTCCACCACCACCACCACCCCACCACACTTCAACACTCACCCAAGGCAAGCACCCAACTGCCACCTCCCACGTAAGTGGAAAGTGTGCATCTCGACTCGGTCCCCATGCGGCTCCGGCTGCACGGGTGACTTGAGTCTGAGACTATTCCGACACGTCAAGCGTCGTGGATAGGAAGGTTGCTGATTTACGTCCCCATTCGGTCCACGGAGTTCGTCCAATTATATGTGTTGTGCGGAGTGGCGGACTGGCGGGCTGGGGACGGGCTGAAAAAGCACCTTCCACGGCCCTCCCACGCAAGTGAGAGTCACGCCGTTGAACCCCCGTTGTGTGAAATCCTGGTGTTTGTGTGTTTGGGGGGCCAGGTCGTGCACGTGGCGGCGCAGTCATGGTCAGTCGACCATGACAGCCCCGCGCCCATTTCCTACTCCAGTTTGCTGACCGGCTCAGACAGCGACTGGCGTGTGGGAATGGGAAGGGAGAGTGAGGTCGACGACTCAGCTCACTTTCCTCACAATAAACAATCTGAGGCGCTTGAAGCTATCACGGTGCGCTAAAAGCCGTGGCTTGGAAGGTTGCCAACTGACGGGGTACCTTGGACCTCCAGCTAATCTGGAGGTCTGAGAGTTAGGCTGCAATGGCTGTTTCTTAATGTGGCCTTTATGGCACTCCCACCACAGTGTGGGATCCGAGCCAGGCGTTGGCGGCACGCCTAGGTGCGGCTTCGGCCCTACCAGCCTCCACTCTCCGATGTGTTGGTAAAAATCCTGGTCATTTATTGTGTGGGCCAGGGTGTGTGGTGGAACGCCAAGGTGAGGATCCGTCCGAGCAATCCACCTGCGGCCTCCCGCGTCTCCTGTCTTCTTGACTCTGTCTTGACACTGGGCTCAGGCGGGGGAGGAGGAGAGAGTGTAGGTAGATGCAGCGCAAGTCTACTGGCACTATAAACCCCTGCGCAAGTCACCGTCCCTGCTCCCACCGCCGCTGCAGCTGTGGGGTACACGGTGGACATCATCGAAATCGATGGTCGAACGACCGTATTTTCGAGATAGCTGGGCATTTATTTTATGACAGTACTTAACAAGGATATGGTGTACACCCGGTAAGGAAACGCAATAAAAGAGAATGTCGATCGATATTTATTTGCACGTGTCAGAAAAAAAAATAAAAAGACATCACAATGGATGTTGCAAGAGCGTTGTCAAGAGGTTTTAAGGTAGCCATCGTACTGAGAAATACGACCCTGCAGCACTTAGTTGACAGCAGTTTCAGAGAGGGATTCATTTTATTTATTATTGGCATTAGATATTAAGAATGGCGTCACCTCTTAATTGGGTACAGTGCGGAGGAGCAACAGTTGGAATGCCACAAATTCTTACATGTTCAACTATTTTGCTCAACAAAAACGCTTTCCTAAATAAGCAGCTTCCGGCATAACTCATACCTTTGCCTAGTTTTTTTCTCCAGCAGGCAAGTCAACCACAACAATGTAAGTCCATAAAAAAGTGCGTTTTGCCCGATGTCGACACTCTCCTTTTAAATTGCTAGTGCTTCCTTTGAGTTAATTTAAACGTAAGCCACATTTACTTTTATACCCGATAGTTAAGCTGCAATGAGTTTTCATGAGTATTTAGGGGCGTTATGTGACAAGTAACGTGCCGGCCTATTTAAAAGAATAAACGTTCTGGAAACCAGCAGACTGACTCGTTGCCCGTTTATCTGATCGTATACGCCAAATTCGATTGAATGGAGAGTCTATTGTCGAACGAAACGTGAGTAACTTGAAGGAATATTTCCCCGGAATGAATTTGAAGCAAGCAAGGACAGCAGAATTTAATGGCACCACAAAATTTCGCGACCGCTTCTCAACTGCTGATGGAGACTGTTCATAGCAACAAGTAGGGGAGACAACATCTCTAATACCATGAAGCGGCGATTGAGATGCACTATTGAAAGAACTTACAACGCAGCGGAGCTCATCTTCTAAAGTTCTACTAAGGCTATCGAAGTTCCACGGGCGAAGGATGCCTTGCCATTGCACGCCACGTCAAATTGTGTTTACGAATTTACACGTACTTGTGGATGCAAGTACATTGGGCGAACGCAAAGGCAACTGGCAGCCAGAGCAGTTGAGCACCTGCCTAAATGGCTTCTAAAGCAGGAGAGCAAGACTCCACGGTCTTCCATTACAAAACATCTCCTTGATAGTGGCCATTCGGTGGACCCTAAGACGTCTTTTCGAGTATTAGTTCGAGCACGAACTACTCGGTTATTGCGCTACCTGGAGGCAGCCTATATACGGCGGGAGAAACCCGACCTATGTAAACAGTTAGACCACGTGGTCAATCTCAGCTTGCTCTGGTAGACCCGAGCCCCTTTTGAGTTTCGAAATTCCTCGGCATGCCTAGTTCTCCATTTTCATTCCCGTGTTGCATTTTGAAGTTACCATTTTATCGATTAGTCTACGCGCAGTACACGTTGACCTTGCTGTTTTACATCGATTTTCTCTGTCGAAGTTCAAACCTTTGTACCTTTCTCACTTGTTATTTCTGTTATGCAACGACCGGCAGCAGTTGAGAAGCGGTCGCGAAATTTTGTGGTGCCATTAAATTCTGCTGTCCTTGCCTGCTTCAGAAACGTGAGTACTAAAAGCTTTCCTAGCACGTTAAGGGAAGCATCGAAAACCGCTCCAAACTTGCAGAGCTCAGCTCGCCAAAACCACACCCCTTTTAATACAAGTCGCGACTAGATGAAGAGCTGTTTCTGTTTATAATCGATTTATAGACGCTGGCTAGTTTGCCGCTCTTGCAGTTGAGGCAAGGTATGTGGGACTGAGGGCCACATCTCAACAATATTAGCAGTCACGATAACAACAGTTTCCGTCCGTTGCTAGTGGACGGCGAATGCATCGTCATTTCATTTAACGCCAACTACCTTCCATGTAGTAATGTGCCCATTCGCGTCATGTGACTGATGACCTCTCGTGGCTTTGATTGGTCGTTACGTACTGGTAAAATAGTGGGACATGCAATGCTGGTTGTTGAATAGACTGCTATCACGGCGTCTCAACGATTCTGCTGCAACACCAATTCTGCGGCGTAAACTAAGGACATCACAAGGTTCGTGATATGTTGGCATATGTGATAAGACTAAACGCTGTTTTGGTTGTGAATGTAGGGTTGAGAGTGAACCATTAGGTTGAGGACATCCGAAAACAAATTTGGGAATTTATCCAAACCATGCTCTGGGCACTTTTGAACCCACACATTCGCAGTGCCAAGACTAGGTTGGCGTCTGCTTTCTAATGGAAATTGACCCCAAACGACCAACATTACAAATAAGAGCGATATAAACCTGCTCGAATACTTCGCACGCAGAGGTCAGGAACAGTACAATTTCGGGAAGTTACGAATTCATCGGTTGGCATAGATGAAATAAGAAATACAAATTGACGAACGCCCTGGTGAATCAAAAACCATCCGGTGACCTCCACGGTACGGTACAATTGCGTTGTTATGAAGCTGAACTAGCCGTGCAAAGAATTAAGGGATTCTAGAGCACTTGGTCAAACAGCCACCAAGTTACCGCACCTAATGCCTGACTAGGACTGTTTTGTTTTAGGGCGGTAAAAAGCATGATTTTATTTTGAACTAACGACGTACATTATCTCCGTGTACAAGTTGGCACGCAGTGACATTTCTACTAAGTCCCGAACATTAACCATTCTGATTATATCTTTGCCCCTAACCACTGATCAAATTCCTCCTGCTCGAAAGTCATCAAACAGCATTTGTCGCTTTCCGCAAACCAATTCGACCTTTAAGACCAATGTTAAGCTAACCAACCAAAGATGACATAATCCGTCCCCCCAAAAAGTGCACACAAGTCCCATACATGGCATTCCTAAAGTGCGTTTTTAACGTGAAACCACAATTTGCAACAAATGTGGAGGACGAAGGCATAGAACTTCGATAACATGATTGTGTACTTTGACTCACTTAAAGTCTCAATACTATTGTAATCAACATGAGCCCATCTGACAGTGGTAACACCGTACTCCAAGCACGTCCATAATCCCAAAAAGTGAGCAAATAGGACAGTCAAACGAATATGCGAGAAGCTGCCAGCTGATAGCTACAGAAACAATGAGAGACGTTGGCCAACGGCCGAGCAACCAGCTTGGATCTTTGACCCTATTGCTCGCTCGCGACACCAAAAGAAATCTCTACAAGCAGCAACGATTGATCTGTCCACCGTCTTAGGAAAATGAGACTCACAAGCATGCTGACGTCGCTACAATTACGACCTCAGCAAAGGATAAAAAGTTCATGCGAGTCAACCGACGATCGTTTTCGTAAAGGGGAACAGCTTTTCAGCAACAATAAACCATGCTAATAACTGTGCGGGCGGCAAAGTTAAAATACAATCGGTATGCAAGAAGCATTAAGCAGATTGCAAAGCACGTATCGGCGATGAAGATGTTTCGGAAGCGAAACTTAAAATATTATTTTGCCAGATGTCCTGCTCACCACGTTGTTCCTTTTCATAGGGTAATGACATGACTCGATGAAATATCTCCCCCTCGATTGTATGGGCATAAAAAAAACATTGATAGGAGAACGAATATGGGAGATGTTGATTGAAATAATCAGCAGAACTTCGTGCTTTGCCTTAAATTTTAATATCAGGAAGTTCAGATTCTTCATTGAATAGTAAACATGTGGTGAGGTACCGGACTAATTTATCTTTGACAATTTAATCCCATTTTCTTTGATTGGATTACTTGTTTGAATGTGATGAGAAACGACACACCTGTACAACCCGCCTTGCTAGCGTGCTCCGCAGTCGCGCTCCGCTGTTTAGTTTTCTTAACGTTCAAAATCTCGATATCATTCACTGCTCAGGTTTATATGCTGCTTTTAAGGCTAGAGGCTCGTGAGATATAAGTCGTTAGTTCGTGAGAACCTTACCTTCTACGACATTGGTGACTCCCGACGTTAACGCAGACTTTATACCTTTCTATATCCTACTGAATAACTTTTTACTTACTATTGGTTTGTGAAAGTTTATTCCATTGACATTTACTTTCCTCGGGACTTCTGATAGTTTACCATTTCTGTCTTATTATGTCTCACTCCAACCAGCAAGTTGATGCCCCCGCCCAGTCCCTTCATGCCATCAATTTTACCTTGCCTGAATTCTGGCAGCACGGTCCAAAACTTTACTTCCTCCGCATAGAATCAGCCTTTTATACTGCCAACGTTTCCAAGGAGCTGGCGAAAAACCACAAAATTGTGGAGGTTCTGCCCGCTAGTATCATCTGTCAAGTTTAGTCCTTGCTAGCTAAGCCTCCTGCAGATGCCCCCTGCCCCACGTAAAGGGAGAAATTCTCCGACTTAATTTTCTGTCCAGTATCACCAGTTACTTAAGGAGGAGTCACTGGGTGACCGAAAGCCCTCAGAGCTTCTACGTCGAATGCGTTCTCACCTTGAAGACATGCAAGTTGACGATACATTTGTCAAGGAAATGTTCCTAGAGCGTCTGCCCGTAGATGTTCAAACGATCCTGGCGTCCGGCTCTCAAGATTTTACGGCCTCACAGGTGGCTGAGATGGCGGATCGAATGATAGAGGTGCAGCGGTTCCAGTTACTTTCCGTTGCCCAGATCTCATCCTCGTCGTCAGTGAATGAATATTTAGTGAAACATGTGTCGGGCATGGGGGATGTGATGGGCTCCCTTAAAATACAGCTCGCCCGCCTTACTTCCAGTCGCCTACACAGCTGTCGTCTTTCTCGTTCGCCACCTCAGACTGCCGATACTTGTTGGTATCACACTAATTTCGGCGTAAAGGCCCATCGCTGCTCCTCACCCTACTCTTTTAAGCCAAAACAGTGAAACCAGTCAGCCAGAGCATAGATGCGACCGTTTTCTCTGTCTCTTCCGGCTCTGATCGCGCCTTCTATGTTTGCGACACTGCGACTCGCAGAATTTTCCTGATGTACACTGGAGCCCAAATCAGCGTTGTTCCCCCAACTGCAGCTGATCGTCGTTTCCCTAACCCTGGTCTTCGCCTCGAAGCTACCAACTGTTTCCCCATTCCCTCTTTTAGCAGTCTCTCCCTCACCCTGAACATTGGCCTTCGTCGGTCCTTCACCTGGATCTTTGCGATTGCCGATGTCCCTCATGCAATCCTCGGCTCGGACTTTCTTGATGAGTTCGATCTGTAGTGGACAGCCACAGTGGCAACGTCGCGCCTCTCGCTAGCGCCTGCACCTACGCCCTAGCGACAGCCTGCTATTACACGCACGTCTGCCCGACTTCGATTTGTCTCGTTGAAATTCGCTCTCTGCACCACGCATTCGGTCGATTCTCTGCCTGCACCACGCGAAGCTTGTCACTACATTCGCGGGGGCTCGGAGCCCATCAACGCAACTCCTTCTCTCGCTGACTAGTACTTTGGCGGGCACAACCCATAACACTAGCGTAAACAATTTTCCACGACACATTTGCAGCGGCGACCTTCGGCGACACACGGCTCGTCGCTCTCGTGATCGCCGCCTCCGCGTCCGGTTGCCACCTTTCCTTCATTATTCTGTACTGAACAAATAAATCATTTTCCTTTCCGAAAGGCGTCCCGCTTCTTCGAACATGAGATATGGCCTGAGGCTGTGGCGTACTGAGCGTACACCATTACCGCTTGACCGCTACAGATCCTCTTGTTGACTGCCGACGTGCCCGTCTCCTCGTCCACACAAAAGGTCTGTTCGTTTATGGACTAACTCCCTTTACTCTCCCCACCAACTTATCTGTCTTGGATACGGATATTGCTAGCCCCTTTCGGCAACTGCTTCTTAGTCACCCCAACATAATTACCCCCCCCCCCAGTTCAGCAGTGGTGAGGTCCAACATGATGTTGTGCAACATATCTGCACCTCAGGTCCTCCGGTGTTTGCTCGACCGAGACGACTAGCACCGGATCGTTTCCAGGCCGCGAAGGCGGAGTTTGAACACATGCTGCAACTGGGAATAATTCGACCGTCCGAGAGCCCTTGGGCGTCCCCACTGCACATGGTGCCCAAGGCAACATCAGGCGACTGGCGACCCTGTGGCAACTATCGTGCCATCAACAGCGCTGCCATCCCTGATCGGTACCCCGTGCCTCATCTTCAGGACTTTGCCGGAGCCCATTTCGGCATCGCGCTTTTCTCGAATATTATTTTGGTGCCTGCTTTTCATAAGCTTCCAGTCGACCCTGAGGACATCCTTAAAACCGACGTCACCACACCCTTCGGTCTCTTTGAATTCATCCGCATGCCGTTCGGTCTTTGTGATGTCGCCTAAACGTTCCAGAGTTTCATCGACCATGACTTACGTGGCCTACCCTTTGTGTACGCCTACACTGATGACCTCTTGGTGGCCAGCCGGAAGGAGGAAGAACGCAAAGAGCATCTTGCCTTAGTGTTCGACCGCCTCGAGAAGTTTGGCGTTGTCATCAACCCCTATAAGTGAGGGTTTGGGTGTACCTTCACTCGACTTCCTTGGCCATCAGGTCGACACTGAAGGTTTGCGTCCCCTTCGCTCCAAAGTTAAAGCAGTTCGTAATTTATCTCCTCCAACTTCGAGCCATTCGTTACAGCGATTCCTCGGCATGGTCAATTTTTACCGCCGCTGAAATCATCATACGAAGGGTCGTTCCGCGTGCTCTCGCGCAACGCCAAGACCTGTCGGATTCTTCGCGGTGACAAGGAGGACGTGGTCAGTGTCGATCGTGGCAAGGCTGCTGTTGAAGAGGAGTAACCGGACCTGTCACTTGGACAAAAATATGCTGACCCCCTAACCCCTGTTCCTCCATCTTCCCTATCCCCTGCTCTTTCGCCCTGCCCACTACCTCGCCCTTCTCCTCCCTTGCCCTCTACCACTCCGTCCCGCAAACTCCGTCGCCCTACATGTATACAGCATCCAACTGCAACATCATCCTTCACCAAAGCACGCAGTCAACCCTCTTCGACTGTACCTCCTGTTTGCAACACTCGCAGTGGCTGTCACGTTCATTTTCCCGATCGTGTAGTTACGTTTTCTAGAATCATGCCTAACCTCCGGCGCCGTATTATGTCGCCCTCCGGTCTAGTAGGGGGTACTGTGGTAAGGTACCCGACTAATTTACCCTAGACAATTTAGTCCCATTTTCTTTGATCGGACTGCTTGCTTGAATGTGATGAGAAACGACACACCAGTACAACCCGCCTTGCTAGCGTGCTCCGCCGTCATGCTCCGCTGTCAAGTTTTTTTAAGGTTCAAAATCTTGATATTATTAACTGCTCACTTTTACTTGCTGCTTTTAAGGCTTGGAACTCGTGAGATATAACTCGTTCGTTAGTTAGAACATTACCTTCTACGACAAGCATAGTACTTGCGTTTCCGATTTTCAGACTCCAATGTCCTAGACAGTGGCAAGCCATAGCTGTCAGCAAATCAGATCAAGCCTAGTCATTTGTACCAAATGTATTTGCAGGTGTACCTCTAAGTAGCTGAACAATTGTTGATTCATTTATCAAGAGCTATTGAGGCTGGCAAACTTTCAATGCACGAAATTAGGCAAATATTGTCACTAACCATAAGGGGAGATTAAGGCTGTATTTCAAAAACTACTGACCAGTCTGTCAAGCATTTGTCAGCTGTAAGTTAATGAAAAGTAGGCAAGCAGGGCAGGTTTTAATGGTTCGACCGCTCGTCAGCTGCATTCTGTTGCTTCGTAACGTAGATAACGAGTAGGAAAACAGAATCACTTGACCTCAGTGGTTCGAACCCTGACAAATTCGTCGCTAACATCTTCCGTCACCGGTTCTCCTCTAAGCGTGGTCACGAACTTCCACCCCTGCTAAATGATAACAAAGTCTTCCCCATCCATGATACTGGCCAGGCGGAGTTGTTTAGTGTTTTCTTTGCAAAACACATTAAAACTGAATCCGAACCGGTTCGTTTCTTTCGTTTACTTTCAGATGGGACATTGGGTACAATCGATGTCTCCTCAGATCTCATTAAGAAACACATACGTCGTTTGAAACACTGACACTGCTCAGCAACTGACCGTATTCCAAATTCGATTATTAAGCGAGAATTCGACCTTCCCATATTTCTTAGTCATTTATTGTCGGTGTATATTTCAAAAATCTTCTTTCCGGAAACATAGAAAACGTCAATTATCAGTCCCGCCTTCAAGTTAGGATCTCGGTCCGATGTTAATAACTATCGGGGCGTGCACAAAACAAAGCTTCTTGACTGCTATAAGATAGAAAATGTTCAGAGGGTTTTCACCCGGAAACTGTTATCTCAAGCTTCTTTGTGTATTTCTTATACTCACAGATGTCAGCTGGCGAACATAAAGTTTTTGTGGGTTAGAAGACTCGAAGTTGGTTTTTGCTTACTTTTTCGCATCAAAAGCTCCAGTCCTCCGCTCACTGACACTCTCACTCCGAGAGATCGGTCTTATGCCACGCGCAACTCCTCCATGGTGATTCCTCCGCCTCTTGGCACTGCATCTAAGCGCTCCCTCTTCTTAGCTTCCAAATATGCCTTCCTTTGGAATAATCTTTTGCCAAAAATTAGGTCAGGGCCTAAGCTACAGGTATTTAAGTCAAAGTTGCGCAAACACCTTACACCGGAAAGCATAAGGCACTGTTATCGGTTTCCTTCCTGAACACTCAGGGTTTTGAATTCTAGAAGGGTCCACCTGGGATTTAGTGGTAGATTAAGTGAAAACCCTCAATTATATTATAAAAAATCCCCTGTTTTGAATTTGTTGCTAAATGCACTGCTATCATTCCTCCCCCATAGCGAAGATTTTCGCGGTTCTTTATGTCATCTGCACCATTCCGACCTCATGCAGTCCGTCGACGCTCCCGGCGGAACCCTCAGAATTCGCCGTTTACTAGTTGTTTGTTCGTAGCTCCCTCCTCCACTCCTCGCCTGGGTTCGAAGCGTACTGCAGACGATCGCGCTTGGGTTCTCACATCTGGCCTCTTGGACGCGAATAGTCTCATCCGGCGTATCAATTCCGCCCTGACGATGTCAGTTCTAAATCCCGTATACAATACCACATTCAGGCCATTCCTGTACGGCACGTATACGTACCTCTCAAGGCTGATATTTATTTCTGCCCTGACGATGTCAGATTATAATCAAGGCTGACGTTTATTTCTGCCCTGACAATGTTCCATTTTAATCCGTTATATACCGCCACATACAGGTCAGTCATGCCCGCACATTTATGTTAATATTTTTTATCGAGGGTTTTTTTCTCCTGTAAAATTAATCTAATCTTTTTTAAATTTTTAGTGAAGTTTTTTCACCTTGCGCTATTCAATCTTCTCAACGGACTACTAATTTAGAAAGTATGAAATGCATTTAGTACAGATTCTGCCTACCTCGTCTGAAATTCGCATGGAAATTTATTTTAACTTCCTTTGCTGAGACCCTAACGGGTCTTTAATGAAAAATCGTTATTATTATGTGGTGAAAAAGTTAATTCTACTGAATGCGTTGCACATTTGTCAGTCTAGGCCTATTTTTGCTATTGAAAATTGGTATGAACTCAGTTATATGAAGGAGAAGAAATGAATCCCAACGTTCGCGTGCAGTGACTTGGAATAATAACGAAATCGAAAACAAGCGTCACTGTAATGTGCACAGTACTATTGCAATAATTGCAGATTGTTCGGACGATATGTTAGCACAGTCGGACGACAATACAATGGCTGGTTGCGCACTGATCCAGCTGACGTTTAAAATCCTCGACGGGTGTGGACACGATGATATCGGCAATCAGGGTATTCAAGGCCTCAACCACTCACATTTTGTTTTCGTCAGCTATGTCCGCATGTTTCATACGTTCTTCCTTATTTTTGATAATCACTTTTATGGCTCGCTGGTCGCTTTATCAAAGTCACATGAACGAGAGTATCCAGCATCAAATTCAGCAATTCAGTCCATGCGAAAGCGATTACGCCCAAAATGCATAGCAACGCTAACAAGGTAGACCATATAGTAATCCAGACCTCCAATATTATCTTGAGACAAGTGCGATCTCTAAAAGATTGTACATAATTATAGAAAGTGCTTAAATGTACTAAGCAGCATATGTGGGAGGATTTGTACGAATTTAACTACCTATACTTCCTCGGTTAAAACTGTATATACAACCAGATTAGCGAACTTGCCTCCACAAAATAAATAAGTAAAAAACGTTTTATTAAACACTCCTGGGAATACTATCATAGGCGTTCTATCATAAGGTGAACAAGGAGAATACAAATGCGTTCTTATTCCTATGGACAGAAAACTACTCACTGAATTCGTCTGTTATAATTAGAGTAATTTCAATATGAATAAACTGAAAGATGCATAGAAATTTTCATATGTAGATCCGTCCAAAGGAATCGCCCCTACCCTTTTGGAGCAAATGAATCTGTCAATAGCGTCAACTCATGAAATGGAGCACAACCAGCTGATGCTCATTTGCAACCGAGTACTTCGAACTTTATCCATTTTTTCATCCGTTTCTCCTGTAAACTTCTCATTGATGTTGATGTCTGTGAGATGCCTACTCTGATAGACTTCTGCTTTTCCCGACTGCTCACTGAATTTCTTTTTTGTTATTTAAGATGACGAGACGAAGTTTAAGTTTCCATTTCGGTCCCTGTTGCTTAATTTTTCCATTTCTGCATTTCCTACCACAAATCGCATTCACTACACAACTTTACTTGAATTGTTTTTTTGACCATCTCTACTGCATCAGCGATGTCCAGCAAAGGCATTTCGTGTCTTGTCTGTCAGATGATACACTTCTTTCTAAGCTTTATATTTGAGTAGGCGGTTCGATTTTAGAACTGCCCATTGTGTGCGTAAGGGAACATGGGGGATATCGTTGACCATAATATTTAGATGCTCACTCACGTTTCATATGATTTCACTTGAAGTTGACTTCCAGCGATTCCGCCCTGTTTGCGATGCCAAGCGGCCACCTATTTCCGAATAAGTCGCCTGAGGAAAAACGCAACGGTCCCTCTCTAGAAGCATAAAGCCCTGAAGACAGCCACTGTTACACAGATTTGGTCTGGCAGTGCGTGTTTAATAGCACGGTCCGGCACACAGGTATGGCGGATCGGCGAGTGGACGTGACCTGCATATTAACGTAAGATGACTACGAGGAAATGTATGCCTTGTTTTTTAGACATGCAGTAGTACTGACTGCGTGACAGAAGGTTTTAGAATTCGGGGATTTTGACGACATACCGATAATTATTCATTCTGGTATTCCTGAATTTTATATTTCCACTGAGACG